TTAGATACTCTCCAACAGTATTTGTCTTTTAGTGACTGGCTTATCTCATTTAGCAGAATGTCCTCAAGGTGCATCCATGCTGAAGCACGTGTCAGAATTTCCTCCTTTCTTAAGGCTGAATAATATCCCACAATGTTTGATTACTGTAGATTTGCAGTAGGTTTTGAAATTGGGAAGTGTGAATCTTTCAAGGTTGTTCTTTTTCCAGACTGTTTGGCTCCAGGAACCATCTTATAACCCACTCTGTCCCAGACTTCCTGCAGCAGGAGGTGGGGGCTCAGTTCCCCAGCTGAGCCAGAGGCAGTGGTTTGGGGGGGTCAGGGCAGGGCATCCACACCTCAGCCTTTTCCCTGGATCCCATGATGAAACCAGAACCCTCATGATGAGAGGTGTCTCAACACCATGTGGTCTCTCGCCTAGGCTGCCCACATGGGCTCAAGGAGCCAGGGTTTTTTTTTTTTTTTTGCTGAGGAAGATTAGCCCTGAGCTAACATCTGTGCCAATCTTCCTCCACTTTATATGCTGGGTGCCACCACAGCGTGGCTGACGAGTGGCGTAGGTCTGTGCCTGGGATCTGAACCTGCAAACCCATATCGCTGAAGTGGAGTGTGCTGAACTTTAACCACTATGCCATAGAGCTAGCTCCAAGAAGCCAGGTTTTTATGACCATGGACTGATAGTCCAGCACTTAAAATCCTAGTGAAGACTGTGATTTCAGAGATTGTAAGTCATCTAACAGCTAGACTGAGGGCCCTTGTGGCCATCAGCAGACATCATCTTCCCTGTCAAGGGTGTGGAGAGCGTTAGGGAGCACTGCTTCCTCAGACACCCCGGCTCTCTGTGTAGGCCAGCAGGAGGCTTGCCTTGGGGGGCCCAGGGGTCAGTCTGGGTGCAGCAAAGCCAACACTGAGCAAGAGGGCAGCCTTAGGAAGGCGTCAAGAGTCTGTCAGGGGCAGACTCAGACCTGAGAAGACCTGGTAGAAGGGCTAGGACCCATGGGAAATGCTGACACTAAGGAAATGTGCCCTGGTCCTGGGGAGAAGCCCAACTGGAGGTGAGAGGGGAGAGAAGGACTGTAGGCTGAGGGCTGGTGCCTGGTGTGCGGAGCACTGCCTGGCACCCTCTCTCTCTCCTCGTCATCACAGTAATTCTGTGGGATCATCAGAAGAAAAGAGCCCTGAGCTACTAGAGTTCCCATGCAGAGCCCAGGTGAGGCAGGCTTCAGAGCCCACAGTCACTCCCCATCCTGCTGCCAGCAGCTAAGCAAGTAGCACCCTGTGCCCTGAAGGCAGTTTCTTTGCAGAGAGGCCTGGGCGGGCTCTGAACAAGCAGAGCCTCATCTGGGGGCATTTGTGAAAGACCAGATGGCTCTGGAGTCAACCTGCATAGCCCCTGGGGTCTCTCTGAAGATGTGGATGATGGACGCTCTGGCCAGCCAGTGAGGCAGGAGATGGCAAGAGGAAAATGCCACTGCCAAGCCCACAGGCGAACTCTATGAAGAAATGTGCTGCTGTTAAACATACACAGCAGGAAGTGTTTGTTAAGCTGTGTTTGAAAAGCAGTCCCTGGGGTTGGCCCTGTGGCCAAGTGGTTAAGTTCGTGCGCTCCGCTTCAGCACCCTGGGGTTTCACTGATTTGGATCCTGGGCATGGACATGACACTGCTTGTCAGGCCATGCTGAGGCAGCATCCCACATGCCACAACTAGAAGGACCCACAACTAGAAAAAAATATACAACTATGTACTGGGGGGATTTGGGGAGAAAAAGCAGGGAAAAAAAAAAAAAGATTGGCAACAGTTGTTAGCTCAGGTGCCGATCTTTAAAAAAAAAAAGAAAAGCAGTCCCTGATTGGCAGTTAATGGTTCCACTAGTCATTGAGAGCACTCATTGTGTCCCCTAGATCTGTGGACAAGCTGACACCGGGGGCCTGGGCAGAACCACGCTAGCCCCTAGGACGGTGGCACACCCCAGGCAGCGTGGGCGTTAACCAGGCTCAGTGGAGGTGTTAACAAACTGCCATTCAAGGTGGGGTGGCAACTGCTGCTCAGCAAAGGTCTCTGAATAAAGCAAAAGAGCTGGCGCAGCATTCAGTTCAGTGGGGCGGTCAGGGCTTAGGGTGCACAGTGGCCTGGAGAGTGCCTGAGGCACATCAGGCACCCACACACAGCTGCTGCATAAGAAGAGGGTCTCTCTCAGAATCAAGACCAGGATTCCATTTCAGAAAACCAAGGAACCCAACCTGGGAATGCAGCTAACAGGAGAACCAACAGATGGAGCGTGGCGGCTGTGGGCTGTTTTCTGGGAACACTGACGTCCAGCCAAGGCAGCCTTTGTCCCCGCTACCAGGGATGGCTGGGTCAGCCAGGGTCCACCCACCCCATGGGCCATCACAGAGTAACCAAAAGGGCCTGGGGGGCATTCAGGGAAAGAGCTAAATGGCAAACTGTGAGCACGAAAACTCTAAAGGTGTGTGTGGGGCAGTGGAGCGAATGGGCCTGGGTGAGGCAGCATAAGCTGACATGAGGCTGTCACTCATCCCTGTGTGACCCTGAGCCAGGTGTCCAGATGTAAAGTAGAAAGGACATGATCTTTATCTCCTAGACATGGAAGCACCTGGTGCCTCAGAAGTAACAGTCAACAGCGCATGTGCACAAGAGCTGGGAAGAAATCCACATACCACATGGCTTTTGTTTTAGGGTGGCAGAACTGGGGATATCCTCCCTCCCCAGTTTTTCTTTAATTTTGACATAAATACTGTTTTCCACTTTAAAAAAATTCACCCAGGGAGGGGACAGGTTTTGATAATAGCAGCCTGTGCCTGGAGCTGCATGGAGCCCTTTACATGCACCGGCTCCCCTGTGCTCAGAATAAAGCCACTTAATGGGGAGGCGGAGGCTGGGCGCCGGGGGCTCTGTGGGGCCTGGTATCGCAGACCAATTCTCTCAACCCTGCGTCTTCCCTCTCCCTTCCACAGGGGCTGATCCCTCATCGCATTTTGTACCCCAAATTCTGTCTCAGCATCAACTTCTGGAGAAGGCAACCTGCATGCTGGAGGTTTGAGTTCAGCACAGGAAACCCCGAGTCCTGCTCAGAGCTGACTGTGTAGGGGCTGCATGGCTACTTGGGGGAGCATCTGAAGTCGGGGGGGGCCTAAGGTGGGGGTGGTTTGGATGATGGTTGCTAGCATCAACTCCACCAAGACTCGTGAGAGCTCCTGCACTGGGCTCTGCTGCTCCTGAAAGAAGAAGGGAGGAAACTTCCCAAAGCAGCACTGGAGCACGGTAGGGGACGGGATGGAGGCATCAGCCATCAGGCCCCCAAAGACTGCTACAGAGGGCGGTTTATTAAAACCCAGGTCTACCTGGGTTCAGAAAGTCCAGGGCACCGAAGCTAAGGTCCACTGTGAAGTGCAGGCTGGGCAGTGGGCAAGCCAGGCTCGGGCATGCCGCCAGCAGCAACGATGGACAGTGGCAGCTGGGAAAGCCAGACGCCTTGCAGCAGAGATGAAGCCCCAGACCCAGACAAGACCCACTCCCTTCCCAGGCCTGCCGACACCAGCAGCTTCACCTGCTCTGCTCTGAGAAAATCAACCAAGCCACATGAGTGTGCTGGACAGTCACTACTGTGACAGGACACTTACCTGTGCCTTGTCCCCAAACAGAACTCTGTCAAGTAACAGCTTCCTGTCACATAACCAATGTCAAGCCAGGGTCTGTCTCTCTGGCAAACTGTCCTTCCTGGTTCTTCAAACTTCTCACAGAGGGTGGTGAGGGGGGCCAGCAGGGGGCCTCCAGGAGGAGGAAGTTTCTCAGCCTGGACCTCACTGAGTAGGAGAGCCGGATAAAAGCAGAGACCACAGCCAGACTCCAAAGGCTGCCCCTGCTTGTCCCCCTATCCTGGTCCTCAATGGCCCCCAACTAGACCAGGGTTGCTTGCCCAAAACCACCACATGCCCAGGGTGCTTGCCCAGGCTGGGTGCTCTTCCTCTCCTCCAGCCCACCACTACCCCCTACTCCATCCATGGCCACCCTACAGGTCTTAGCATAAATGAGTGCCTTCGCAGAGCCCAGTGGCACCCCTCACCCCTGTGCACACCCCCTTATCGTCTCTGTAGGACCTGTCATAATGGGACTTGCTTTATTTGCTCATTTGGACATTTCTTAATCTGTCTGCCCGTTAGAATGTAGCTCCATGGGAGCAGGCGCCACGGTCAGGGGCAGTGTCTCCCCAGTGCCTCCTGGGTGAGTGAGAGAAGGCACAGTATGCCACACTCCCTCTACAAATGCTAACTGCCAGCAGAAGTCTGGTTGGGAAGCCCCTGGGAGCATTTAAGCCCAGGGCACAGCTGTTAAGAATTGCTACATCATATGCTTTCCAAAAAGAGCTAGAGAAGGCTGTCAGCACCCAACCCCCATGCAGCAGAGGCTGTGAAGATGGTTCTGGCAGCTGCTCCAGAGGGGCAAGTCCAGGAGCAGGGTGATGGCAAGGAGGCCTCTGCAAGATGCAGCCAGAGCGAATGGGGCCTAGGCCAAGCAAGGCCCTGGGACAGAGAGGAGGGGGCCTTCTGGAATCTGGTGGATGTACATGCTGGGGCTGAGGATGACAGTAAGCACCAAGGGTGACGGAGTCCGACAGTGGAGTGAGAGTCACTGCACAGGTCCTCACAGGCGAGAGCTGATGAACCTGTTGGCTCTCATCCTTCACCCACATCTAGTACCCAAGCCTGTGATTCCTGCTGCAGGAGCAGCTCCCACACCTGCTCTTCCCCAGATGCCTAGCTGTGACCTGCTGCCCTGACCTCTCACCTGGAAAGGTGGACCATTCTTTGTACCAACCCTGCCTCCTGCATCTCTCCTCTCCCATCCCTCCCAAACGCTGCCACCCAAGACCTTTAGCAGCTCCAATCTATGTTTGTTTTGCCCACCACCCTTGAAGACACCTGTGGGCCCTGGCAAGCTAAATGCCCCGTACTGAGCTGTGAGGCCTACGGCCCACTCACCCGGTGGGTCTTGCTGTAGGTGTAGAGGAAGGCCAGCCGGTAGAGGCTCTTGTAGTGCTGGGGGAAGCGGCTGAGGCACAGGCGGAAGGAGGCAATGCACTGCTCCGTGAGGAACTGGCGCTGCTCCTCTGCACCGGCCGGCAGCCCCTGGGGGAAGGCTGCTGGCTCCCCCGGGGGTTCCCCTCTCTTCTTCCCATCCCACAGGGTGGGTGCAGACGCTGGGGGTTTGACGGGGATACACGCAGAGGCTGGGGGGTCTGTAGCAGGCTTCTGGCCGCCTTGCTCTGTGGCTCGGAAACCTTCTGTGCTCTCCAAGGACTCCTCAGTCTTTCCTACAGTTGAGAAGAAGGAAAAGAAAGTCAGTTTTAGGCTGTCTCCCTGCAGCAGCCTACCACCAGCAATAGAGGCACCTCAGTGAGGTGACTGGCACAGCTGGGTCCATGCCCTTGCTGGATGGGTGCTCAACCCAACCAACCTAGCAGTGGGAGGCACAGGGCCTGGAGCTGGCTCTGCCTCCACTGACTGAGGCCTCGACGGCCCCCCAGTCTCAACAGGATGTCCCAGCTGGCACGCAGCGGAGGAGCCCTGAGGCTGCAGAGAGCAGGGGTTACAAGCTGGGCTCTGGGTCCCCCTCTGAATGGTGGCACAGGGCTGTCCTGCCTCTTGGGCCTGTGTAGGTACATGGAAAAGCAGCCCACAGAAGGCAGGTGTGGCTGCCACCACCATGGGCTCGAACAGCTGGGAAAGGGTGAACACGGGGCTGCACCTGCTCCACTGTTCAGCCTTCAGCCCACAGCCCGCCCAACACTCCTCCAGAGCTGTTGCCTCGTATGAACCACGAGCGCCCACACCAGCCCTGACCTGATGTGAGCTCAGCACCTCAACATCCAGGCCTGCTCCACCAGGGATGGCAGGGCAGACAGCACAGGAGAGCCTGGGCTGGACAGCAGGGGCTGCAGAATGAGACTGTCTGGCCCGGGAAGGAGGGATGGAAGGAGTGGGTGGCAGCAAGTGTCAAGGGCAAGGTGGCCCCTTGGGCACCCAGGAGTTTGGCACAGCCTGTCTGGAGGAGGCCAGAGAAGCAGCCTGGCACCAACTCTGAAGCCTGTCGGTCACTGTGGGCTGAGTCTGTTACTGCCCTTTCCCTGCTGTAGCAGCAGGCAGGAGAAGAGGGGCCTGTGGGCATGCAGAGTGGGCAAGGACTAAGGCCCCAAGGTCCCCTTCTGCCAAGACCAAGCCAAACTGTGCAGATGTCAGGTGCGTGTCAAGCTTGCCCACCCTCACTCTTCTTGCAAGGAAAGAATCTGAGCAGTCACTCCTTGTGACCCCCTCGGCTGCCAAGACAAAGCCAAGCTCCTGAGCAGGGCACATGAGGCCACCTGCCATCCCTCCAGCTCCCCTCCTGGCCTCACACCCTGCGAGCAGACACTTGGAATATCTCACTCTGTGTTCCTGCCTCTCTGCTGTCGCTTCTTCTCCTGGACGCACTCTCTGCCCTCCTCCCTCCCCTGCCTCGCCCACTTGCTCTCATCTCTCAGGACTCTACTCAGCATCACTTCCTCTTTCAGGGCCACCTCCCCCCGACCCCCTGCCCAGCCCTAGGGTGGTGTCTGCAGAGTGCCTCCTGTGCCCACCTGTCTGGGGTCACCGATCCTACTGCATTTATTTATGCCCATAAGTGTCTCCTTCTCCCTTGTTACCCAGAGCCCAGCCCCACCTGCCATTTGAAGCTGACTGAATGACTGAGTGACAGGTCATATCTGATCTTGAAACTACGGAGCTCAGGAAACTGCCTAGGTCCCACATGCACCCACTCACAGCCCTAGTCACAGCCCCACGACAGCAACCAGGGGCCTGCGCAGGGCTGGCACCCATCTTACAGGGGATACTAGTGCCTTTCTCACAAACATGCCAAGTTCTAGTGCGCTCAGTTTGAAGGACACATTTCAAACATAGCTCAACAAACATGGTCTGAGCAAAGACTCTGGGCCCAGCCCTATGCTAGGCGCAGGGGAGACAGGAAAATCGGAGGAAGATGCAGGCCTCCCAGGGGCTCAAATAAGGTGCTAAGTACTCAGACACAAATACACACAAGAAGACATTTTTAATGGAAAGAGAGCAGAAGGTCAAGAATTAACCCAGAGAGTTCAGAATGCATGTCTGAAGACATATAAAGAGGAAAACAAACAAACAAAAACAATACCAGAGTGAGTTGAAACTCCTGTTGCTCAGGAGTTTGGGTGACCCAACGAAGCCCAGGAGAAATGGGTGACATGCCTCGCCCACAGCATCCACTCCCCCTGCTGAATGGGCCTCACGGATCACATTAATGGAAAGAGGATCAGAAATGTCAACAAACCCACAAAACACTCCCCAACCAGAAGTCCAATTCTAACCCTAGAAGCATGAAGATGGGAAGACTTCCTCCTGCTGACAGAAAGCAAGTGAAGTGCATGCTCTGGCTACCCTGGCCTAGACCAGTGCCTGCTGCTGGCAATGAGGACTGGCTTGGACGTGCACGGTACACGCACCAGGCAAGAAGAACGCAGGAGCCGTGGGATCCACCTCACCCCACTAGCGACGCCCACCCCGCCCGGCAAACACGCTCAGGCAGTCCCCAGGCCGCGACCTGACCAGGAAGGGGCAGGTAGACATAGCATGGCGGGCCTTGGAGGAGGTGCCTAGTGGCTGTACCAGCACCCTCAGGCCATATCCTGCCCTGGGCCCAGCTGGTTGGGAGGTCCTGTCTGGACCACACAGGTCCTTGACAACTTGGCTAGCCTCAGAGTGATAAGAATATTGGGCTTGTGTTTAGGTGGTGAGACTGTGGGCAGCTTTTTTCTCTATTAAGAAAATAAATCTTTACTCTTGCTACATTCACATTTTGGACATTTTTTTAAGCTCTGACCCTTGAAAAGGTGAGCTACCTATGAAGAAACCTCTTTCCTCGAGGCAGCTGGGCACGGACCAGAGGGGAGAATTAAAGAAGGGAGGGGAGTCCTCAGGAAGCAGGCCAGCTCGCGCCTGCTCGACACCATGGGAGGGAGTGCACCTCGGGGTCAGGCAGGGTGTGGCAGTCAGATCCATCCCTGCTGCCCCTTGGCACCTGCTGCCTGGTGCAGACCTGGGCTCCGTTAGACTCCGCTGCTCAACAATGGACACAAAAGTTGTGAGTGAGCCTGGCAACAGTGACTGTGAAAGAAGCAGCAGGCTGTGGCAGGGCCCCAACAAGGGTGTGCCTGGAGAGCCAGGGGTGTGGAGCACACTCCGGGCACACCCAGCTGGCCTGCCAGCACATCCTGGCTCCCTGCAGAGGTTGAAAGCTGCTGGAGCCGTGGCGGCCATGGCTGCTGGCCACGGCTGCTGCTCACGGGGAGCCCAGAGGAGTGCATGCCAGAGGCTGCCCCTACCAGGCCAGGCCTGTGGGAGCACTCTGCTCCTCGAGCTGTCTGCTGGGCACAGGCTCAGAACACATTCTCTGCTGCACCCACTCTCCCAACAGGAAGTTCACCACTGTGGTCATCGGGAAAAGCTGGGCTCAGAAGGGAGGAACGTGTCCACGGAGGAAAGAGGCTTCCTTTCAAGCCCACCAGCTACTGTGGTGACTGATTCTACCTTCGCTTTCTTTACCAGTGGCCAGCCCCAAACGCTGTTTGCTGAGACCTTCGGCTCTGAATGGAAGGAAGAGGCAGGATGCTTGTTCCTCATGTGTCTGGAAAGCCCTGCACAGGCTGGGCTGGACCAAAGCCGACCTTCTCTCAGCTTAGCTCAGCAGCCCCTGTACCCACTCTTCCCCAAGCATGGCGGAGAGAGGCCCATGATGACACAACAGCACCCACAGCAGTTCACCACTTGATGAGCCGTAGAGACAGACAACAGGCCTCACTTGCCCAACAGTAAACATGATCTTGATTTTTCACTGGACGTGAACAACAATTGCTATAGTAGAGTATTGGGGATACCGGTTCCTTCCCCTTCCAAACTCCCTATAGCATGTTTATGTCGGCTGCAGAATGCCAACATTGGTTTGGGATAGCATAATGACTGCCCGGTGAGAAAGGGGGTACTGGCCTCGCCTCTTTTTTCCCCTTCTCCCCAAAGCTCCCCTCCCCCCCCCCAGTATACAGTTGTATATTCTAGTTGTAGGTCCTTCTAGTTCTGCTGTGTGGGACGCCGCCTCAGTGTGGCTTGATGAGTGTGCTAGGTCTGCGCCCAGGATCTGAAGGCCGCCAAAGTGCAGCACACGAACTTAATCCCTCGGCCACAGGCCAGGCCCTGGTCTCACATCTTGACAGAGGCCCAGGACAGGTAAATGCACCCCTGTTCTGCATCCCTTTACCTGACCTAATGGGCCTACAGGAGCTGTGGCCTTACCCCCTTCTAAGGCCAGCTAAGGGAGGCCGGCAAGGTGCACAGAGCCAGGAGAAGCCTCTCCTAGCGTGAAGGGCCCCACCGCCACACCTACACAAGCTGCTGAACCTCGACTTGCCTATCCAGGGCCAGTGCGCAACTTCCTGGGGCTGGGCCAGGGCCCCCAGAGTGAGCAGGTTATCCCCAACCCCACCTGCCCCATTCAGTCCACCCAGAGAGGCAGCACAGGTAGTGGTTAAGGGTGCAGACTGACCGTGGGCAAATTCCTGACCCTCCCTGAATGTCAGGTTCTTCACCGTAAAATGGGAACAGTCACAGTGCTCCTGGGAGGTTGGAAGGACCAAATGAGTTAAAATAGTGCCTGGCACAGGCCACCAAGCATGAGTCTAGGTGGTGATTGTTACTGTTTGGTGGGCACCTGTGTGCGCTGGCCCTGGCCAGATGGGAAAGCTTTCAAAATCCAGGCTGGCTGGCCAGGCACAGCTTCAGAGCAGTGCCAGGGATCTCCCAGCAAGCCCAGGTGTGCGGCTCTGCCTGCTGATTTCCACAAAAGGGACCTGGGACCCCACAAGAGCTGGGTGTATCCCAGGGTTAGATCAGAGCCCCCTGCCAAAAAAGGGGGATTTTTGCCCTAAAGGCTTGATGTGATTCACACTAAAAAGAAAACACATTTGTAACATTTAGGATTGAAAGGCTTTTTTAATAACCATTCATCGAGAAAAAAAGTAGGGGACACTCCTGTTGTGGCCATGGCTTTCTCACATGGGGCTGTGGTGGGGTCACAACAATGCCAAGTGTCACTGAGCAAACACTGTGTACCAGGCACCGTGTGAGCTCCTCCCTGAGCTGCCTAGTCAATCCTCACAACCCTGGGCATGAGCCTTGGGATCACTCCCATCCTACAAGGGAGAGCCCAGGTGAGTAACTTGCCCAACCGAGGTCCCAGGAGAGCGGGTGGAGGTGCGAGGATGGAAGTCAGGCCACCCACAATCTTTAGCACTGCCCAGACTGGACATCAAAGCAGTTCTAATTCCCCGGTTAGGTCTCATACCTCTTTCCTCTGTGGCCCCCTGAAGGTCTTTACTGGTTAGTCCTGCTTGGGAACTAGGAATCGACGGCGGCCTCTTCTCCACATAGGGCTTCCGTGAGCCCTCCAATGAGCTGGCGGGCTCGTTAAAGAAGTCCTGCGTCGAGCTGGAGTCGGAGAGAGCCACGGCCGTGCTGTCCTGGCTGCGCTCTGAGGGGAGAAGAAGGGAGAGAGAGCGGCAGCATGAATCCACGCCGTCTCCAACACAGAGCGGACTCCCGGGTGAGTCTCCCTGCTGGAGGCCTGGTGACTGCCCTGCAGAGGAGACAGCCTGGGTACACTCTGACACTGTCGAGCCCGACCTGCCCTGGAGGCCACCGAGCCACTCACCAAAGGCACCAATCTCCATGGTCAACCTTCTGGGGTTTCCTCCAACAGCGGTGTTCTGGTAAATGTTTAACAATTGGCTCTCGAGGGGAAAAAGCCCTCATTTGTAGCATTTACTGATTTCTGTGGTATAAATACTGCTACCACGGCCAATTTTAAGCTACCAACATGATGTTGCTGAACATGGAGTTGGGAAGAGATGCACAGTAGTACACCATTATATAGTATTTCCACCACAAAGACATAATAGGCATAAATTACCGAAGCAGGTAAGAATTCAACAAAAATGTTTAACTAGTTGCTAAAGGCCAAGCGTGGTCTAGAACAAGAGCAGAGACCCCTGGGAGTCACAGACACAATGGAGGTTGTTATCCCCCTGCCAGCTCCTCCCCTTCGACCTCTACAGGTGCTCATGAGGAAGATCAGGGCAGGGCAGGGAGGAAGACTGGAGGAGACCTTCCTGGGGTGCAGGCCTGGAGAAGAGGAGTGGCTGCTGCTGTGGGAAAGGCATGAGGCCCTGGCAGGACCTCTCTCCCCTAAAGAACAACAGCCTTAAGCCAGCAGGGGCAGGGAGGAGCAGCAAGCCTTGCTGCCTCCAGGATACAGGTGAAGACTCATGCAGTTGGGGGGAGGGAAAAGAAAAAATCCTCCCCTGAGAAAGAGGCAGGAAATCATCCAGGGCCTAAACATTTGAGGTCTCCCACCCCTGAGAGAAGGGCCAGATGACTGAGAGAGCCCCACTCCTGAGACGCAGGGGCAGAGGCTGCCTAAGTCTGAGGTCAAACTAAGACAACAGAGAACCAACCCACCCCTGCCGCTGGCTTGCAAGCATGAGTAACATGCAAAGCAGAGGAAGACGGGCAAGAACATGGCGAGTGACCCTCCCTGGGGGGCACATAAAAGGCCTAAAGCTGAAGGTGGAAACTGAGAAAATCTTCTAGCAAACCAGCCCCCACTCCAAGTGTAAGGTAACACCCTCAGAATGTAAAGCCAGTGGTGCACTGACGGGAACCACAGCAACACCACCACCAGCCCCAGCTCGACATGGACAGTCGGACTCACCTTCCCCTCCCAACAGCCTAGAAACAGAAGAAGGAAGCCCATTCCAGGCATAAACATTAGTTATTTCAGTCTCTTCTGTCCCACACATGATATCTGGTATTCAATATAAAAATTATAAGGCATGCACACAAAAGAAAAGAACATTGTCAAGAGACTAATCAACAGAACCAGACTCAGAAATAACCCAGATGTTGGAACTATCCAACTGGGAATTTAAAATAACTAAGATTAATACGACTCATAAATATGATTAGTATTTTAAAAGCCTCTAGTGGAAAAGGTGGATATACGCATGAACACAAGGGGAATTTCGGGAGTGAGATGGAAACTATAAGCAAGAGTGAAACAGAAATGCTAGAAACTAAAAACACAGTAAGAGAGACAAAGAATGCCTTTGTCAGGCTTCTCAGCAGACTTGATACAGCTGAGGGGAAAATAATCAAAACCTGGGGCTGGGTCAGTAGAAATAATCCAAACAGAGAGAAAAGAGTGGGGGGAAAGCAGAACAGATTATCCAAGAGCATCCAATGACCTAGCATATTAAAATGGAATCCCAGAAGAAGATGAGACAGAAACAGGACAGAAGAAATATTTTAAGAGATAATGACTGAGGATTTTCCAAAAATAATGAAAGATATTAAATCACAAAAAATCTCAGAGAACATCAAGCAGGCAAAGATTCCTCTACACACATTAAAGGAAAAAAAAATCACACCTAGATGCATCATATTCAAACTGGTGAAAACCAAAGATACATAGAAAATCTGGAAGGTGGAGAAAGACACATCAGATATAGACAAAGTTAAGAATTTTAGCCGACTTCTTATCAGGAACCATGCAAATCAGACAACATTTATGAAGTGCTGAAAGAAAAAAGTCAACCTAGAATTATACATCCAGTGAAAATATCTCTCAAAAATGAAGGAGTAATAAAGACTTTTCCAGACAAACAAAAACTGGATTCCTTACCATCAGATCTGAGTTACAAGAAATATAAAAGAAACATACATAAAAAGAAAAAGTACGTAAAGAAATAAAGTTCCTTGGAAATGGTCAAAGTAACAAGAAATACAAAAGACACTGTTTTCACATTCGTAATTCCTCTAAAATATTACTGACTACTGTAACATACTGTGGGTTTAAGGTATATGTAAAAGTAAGATGAATGAAAACGAGAGTACAAAGGTGGGAGGTTCTTACGCTACACGTGAAGTTGTACAATATCATTTGAAGGTAGATGGTGATCACTTAAAGATGTATTTTTGTAAACCCTAAGGCAGTCACTGCATATTTTTAAAAAAAGAGGTATAGGGGCCGGCCCAGTGGCACAGCGGTTAAGTTCACACATTCTGCTTGGCCAGCCTGGGGTTCACTGGTTCAGATCCCGGGTGCAGACCTACGTACCACTTATCAAGCCATGGTGTGGCAGGTGTTTCATATATAAAATTTTAGAGAAAGATGGGCACGGATGTTAGCTCAGGGCCAGTCTTCTGCAGCAAAAAGAGGAGGATTGGTGGTAGATGTTAGCTCAGGGTTAATCTTCCTCAAACAACAACAACAACAACAAAAAGGTATAAATAACAAACCAATAGTAAAGATAAAATGCAACCATTAAAAAAATAAAACTTTGTTTTGTCTTGAACTCTTTGTATCTGAAGGTGAAGCTCAATGAAATAGGAATCTAGAGAGGTAAGTGCAAGTTCCCCTTGTGCCACTCACGAGCTGTGTGACCTTGAACAGGTAAGTCCCTTCCTCATCTATGAACTGCAACCACGTATCATCTCAAACAGGTCCAGGCCACAGTGGCTTCTGGGGACATATGGAGAGAGGCAGACACAGACCACAGGAACCTCCAACCCTTTGCTAATCTACCTTAAAAACCTGGGATCAGAGGACACATTAGCGCCCACCAGGCAATTAAGCGGGGCCCACTGGGAGGCCAAACACAGCTGCTGGTGGGCAGACAAACTTGCAACAAAATGTAATGTTGTTTCAACAAAGTTGAAAGCCTGGACTCTAGGCGATCCAGGCTGCCTGAGTTCAAATCCTGCTCTGGCACTTACTAGGTCCGAGAGTCTATGCAAGTGCCAGAATTTCTCTACACTTCAGTTTCCTCACACATAAAATTATGATAATACAAGTGCCCACGTCGTAGAATTGTTATGATGATTAAACAGGTTAATACATGTAAAGTGCTTGAAACAGGGCCTGATACACAGTACATGTTCCTGAAACATCAGCTCAATTATCAGTATTGTTATTTCAGAGAACCTGGACCGATTTTCTAATGTCTCCAACTTGACTTAACGGAGATTTGGTTCTGAATGGGCAGAGGGGAGCTTATGCCACACTGGAGACCACGCCTGAGAGCACCATGTCCACGGGGTGGGAACCACTTCCTACACACTGACACGACAGGCCTGTCCAAAGTGGGCCTGCCTGCACAGAGGAACACTGAGACCAGGCCTGTGCTTCCAAAGGCAGCTCCATCGCTCAGGCCTCTGCACTGACGTCTGGTCACAGACCAGGGTCTGGGGACAGCAACCTCTCACGCAGCCCCATAAAGCCTGCTGCAGCCCTTCCTCTGTAGCTGCCTTTACGATGTCCACTGCCCAGTACCTGGTAGGTCATCAGTATCACCTGGGCTGATGGAGCATAAGAAACTGCTCCATCTGGGATGTGAGGCATGTGTGAGACCCCTGAGTGGCCAACCCAGAAGCTCTGTGACTAACAGGGGAGCAGGGACCTGGCCAGACTCCTCTGCCTCACACTCAGTGAGGTGCTCTTCTCTGACTCCTAAGGCCAAACCCCAAGGTGCCAGGAGCACCAAACGGGGATTACAGGCAGGCCTGCAAATCTCACGAGAAGTCTCACGCCAGAGTCCCCAGTAGTGAGGGGATCACTTCTCCCAGGGAAGTGGCAGGGGCAGCCCATTCACCGTCCGTGTGGAAAGGGAGGGCTAGCAACAGAGACCCTTGGCTCCAGAGGCCACACAGGGTCACTGCAGGTGCTCAGGACTCAAGAGTCCCACACCTGCATTCCAATTCCAGATCTGCCACTCAGGCTTCTCCAGGCCTCCACTTTATACTGTTTAATACGATTGTCACTTCTCTCCCTGGCTCTGTCCCCGAGACACACATGGGATCCCCACAGGGGCCTGGCCCAGTGACCACCTGTCCTGTAGCATTTACTGGGATTCTGACAAAGAGAACACCGATGGCTTGAACAAGACAGCAGGTCATGCCCCCACAGTTTAAGAAGTCCTCCTGGAAGTCAGGCCAGGGCAGGCGCTCCTCAGTGAGCACCGGCCCAGATGAAGACCCTGCATGGCTGAGCAGCACACCGGACAGGGAGGGTCCAGGAAGCAAGCCTAGCTGGGAGGCCCTCACGAGAACTGGCGCCCTGCCCGATGAGCTCACGCGCTCACAAGCTGTTGGGCTTGGGGCCTGAAAGAGTTGCTAACTTGGTGGAATCCCAGCTGCGATCACTACAAAAACCAAGGATTGGCTTAAGCAAATGGATATTTACTCCTGATGTCTATCGCCCTCTGGATACCGCCGGTAAGGGAAGGAACCTCTCATGCGTGCATGGAGGCAGAGTGCACCACGAGTGGTGTGGGCAAGAAAGGGCAGCAGTGTGCCTCGGACTGTCTGCTGCCCTGGGGAGCAACACCCGGCAGGTGGGGCCTCCCGCTGAGCCTCTTTTAAAATAACACCCACAGCAACAACCACCAGAGCCCAGGAGCAAGACGTATAAGCCAA